GGGTCATGAGTAAGCAGAGACCCTACCTACAGCCCGGGGAGGGCCCCACGCTGGAGCAGGCAGCTGCACCCAAAGAAGTCCATGACTCTCTGTGAAGCCCACACTGGAGCAGGCTCTGCCTGAAGGACTGCACCCCCATGGAAAGAACCCACGCTGGAGCAGTTCATGAAGAACTGCAGCCTGTGGGAAGGCCTCAGGCTAGAGAAGTGTGTGGAGAACTGTCTCCCTTGGGAGGGACCCCATGCTGGAGCAGGGGCAGAGTGTGAGGATCCCTCCTCCTGAGGAGGAAGGAGCGGCAGAGACAATGTGTGATGGACTGACCACAACCCCCATTCCCTCTCCCGCTGTGCTGCTGGGGGGAGAGGTAGGAGAGAAATGAGGAGCAAAACTGAGCCTGGGAAGAAGGGAGGGGGTGGGGGGAAGCTGTTTCAAAATCTGTTTTGTTTTGTCTCTCCCTGTCCTACTCTGAATTGCTTGGTAACTAATTAAATTGAGTTTTTCCTCCAGTCGAGTCTGTTTTGCCTGTGACCATAACTGCTGAGTGATCCTTCCCTGTCCTTGTCTCGCCCCACACACCTTCCCTGATATTTCCTCCTCCCCACACCTCTGGCTTTGATTAGGTTTTTCAAAAGGCCTGTGGCCTTTATCCTCTGAGAGAAAACCCAGAGGAAAATCCAAAGTGCAATCAAGAATATTCTTATAGTGACACCTTTTATCCAGTTCTGAGGCAACATCCCCAGACTAGGCCAAAAGGCTTTAGGCAATGACAGGAAAGATCCATAGTGTGCGAATGAAAAAGAATGAAGAAGGAAAATTCATGGTTTAAATCTTACCTACACAGTCGTAACGGCTGCTGGCATACTTCAGTTCATAACCAAGCTGGCACTTGCAGTAGTAGCTTCCAAAGGTGTTGACGCATCTGCGGTTGTAAGAGCAGACAGCTTTGCCAGTGGAGCATTCATCAATGTCTAGAGCAGGAAAGGGGATGCTGGTCAGATCCATGAGGTGGTGAAATGGGAAAGCAAGAACTAGTTGGGATTTGCACAGGAACGGTTTGGTCTTGCCTATCACAAGTTGTTTAATATGTAATTCCTACAATTTTACACATAGGGATGGCTTTTGCATGTGCCCATATGAATGAAGCAACAAAATGTGGACTAACTTTATGGAAGATTTTCAGGTCTGGCATGATAGGAGACAGGGTAACTGGCAGTGGGGATTCTCCCCACTGGGAGCAATGATTTGCCCTAAGGTCACAGAACAAGGTCAGAATGAACTCCACAAATTCCATAACTTCTCTGAGAAAGGAAATGTTGGAGAACAGTTTAAGAGAAAGCCCCAGAAACAGGAAACCAAGGGCAGCAGCAGCTCTTCTACTGATTCTCTGCACCTCCCCTTGCTGGGCTAAGTCAAGACACAGTGGCGAGAGAGTTTCCAGACTGCAAGGGGTCTGCCCAGCAAGGCAGATGACAGGGACAGACATTCTGAAGAGAGAAGGAACCTTGGTAGGGGAGGAACCTAAGAACATTATTCAACAACCATTGTAATTAGATGTTACTAATTTGATTTGTTTTGTTCTATCATCCAATTCAAAACAGCTCCGATTATGACATTTTGCGCTTGTCCTTCTCTATCACATTTCAGCACATAGCAGTGACTTTGCATATATTCATCATGCCATGCTGCTGCCCTTTATGGCTTAGAACTGCTGTGAAGTGTTGCTGGACACCACAGTCGGTCTTTTTATCATTCCTGCCATTCTTTTACGTGCTTAGATGATCAAAGGGAAGTGGACAACAATAGAAAAATATTTAACCAAACCTGCAGTCAAAACCCCTCTTTGGGCCCATGGTACACATGCCTGATGAGGGCCTCTGTTCCTAGCCTCCGGGGCACTCCCACACCTCTCCAGGTTCTCATTTTCCTGTGCCTCTGTCAGGACCACGGTTTGTCACAAGCTCAAGGAGAAGCCTGCTGCACTCGACCCTAGCATGAACCTTATGTCCACAGCGAACACTAAAACTCACTGTACTCTTAGAAACAACAGGTTTAGTTTTACTTTAAAATTCTGATCTATAATTGTTATTTTTTTCCATGAACTGTGCTTGTGTAGAAGAGGATAAGTGAAACACATCAACATGCTGCTCTGCAGGTCCAGAAATAATGCAGCTTCTTAGAAGGATTAAGCTAAGACTAATTGCCAGGGATCTTCAAGTGTTTATCTGTTTATTGTGTTTCTGTGACTAATACCAGAGTATTAGAGTATTTTATAATCTATTAAGCATCCATTATGCTATACAGCAGGAAGATGCTCTCTCTCTCATTTTAGAGATGGAGAACTGATGACATACCACAAGTCATGCAGAAAGAAGAGGTCTGGTATTTGCAACCATTGGACATATCTCTTTGTCTATTTTACCTACTATCATTTGCAGGTATATGTATCAGCATTCTTCCAAATCCATTTGAGCAGGCAAGGTAGATACAAATAAACTCAATACAAAAGAAAAAAATAGTTGGCTGAATAATTTACTGAATATATATACAAGAGAACAACTCATCTATTGTATTTAAATACATATGTCTACAATGTTCATCTTCAAATAGCTCAAATGATTCAGACATGCTAACTGCGACTGGTAGTAGCCCAAAAACCTTGCTGATTACTCAAAGCAGGACATTTTCAATTACAAACGCAATTCATTCGAAAGAAACAAATACTGTTCTCTTGAGCCAAGTATCCATATGGGTTTATTTGATAGCTCACAGAAATGATAAAGCAGTTCCAGGCCATATGACCTTCCTACATGATGATATTACAGCTGTGTGTTAAGGAGAACAATTCATACAGTAATAGCCCTTTTACACAGCAGTGTCTCTTGGTCGATGCACTTAATCTTTTGCTTGAAATGTGAAGTATAATATTGACTTGGCCACTGGAGCTAAAATTATTTTTTTTATGTTGGAATGTTAAATAATGTTTTAGATGTTGAGAGGTTTAAGCTGTACAAATCGTTCAGCACGTATTGGTAAGCAGCATCTGAAGTGGATTAGCTACTGTTACTCATTGTCTGTCAGGTATCATGCCGAAGCTGCTCTTTATGATCTGGAGGACTTGCATCACTGTGACAGAAATAACGTTAAAAAAATGGGAAATCATCAGTATCATTAGGAATGTTGCTAAAGACATGTTAGCAAATACCACCTGTTGCAAAAAGTTTTCTCACAGAATCACAGATGGGTTGAGGTTGGAAGGGACCTCTGGAGGTCACCTGGTCCAACTCTCCTGCTCAGGCAGGACTACCTAAACCTGGTTACCCAGGACCACGTCCAGGCAGCTTTTGAATATCTCCAAGAATAAATTTCCATTCTCTATTTTCTTTTGTATTTTGGGCAGCTCTGGGGGAAAACAAAACCAACCCACCCAAACCATTTCCCAGCTGCAATCTTCAGTATTCTATACTTGCCTGAGTGGAATAAAGGTTAAAAAAACCCAGAAAATGTCATTCTTTGGGGTTGACTAGGGGTGTTACCCATTTAGAGGCCTTGTGATACCAGAAATGAAAGGCTAGATCAGGAAAAGAGGAAAGTAGGAAAGAAAGGAAGGGGGAAGAAAGAATTTTGTGGCTGATCTTTGTAATTGTTCAAATTCTACAAGTTAGCATTTTACATAAAAATGTGCTTACTGATTCAAAAGGACAACTTGCATTTCCAAAATTAGCTAAAGCTATTCTAAAGAAGAAATCTAGAACTGAAAATTCTTTTGGGTTGTTTTTTTTTTTCCCCCCACAATGCTGCAGCACCACTTTGTCATTACAATGTAAAACCCGTATCACAGAACAGAACTAAGTGTTCTAAGTAATGCTTTCTTCATCACAGGAAACATCCAGGTTAAGTGATGTTGAGACTTCTGGAGAAAGATCTGGAATTTTGTATTGTGGTTTATCACAACAAAAGAAAAAACATATCCAAACACAACCCCCAAATCCTCTATTGCATTATGTCAGTAAGACAGGTTCCTGCAGGCAAAACGTTGGACCTCAGAGAAACAGGATCAAACTGAATCTGTTAATGACTCCTAGTTATGTAAAAAAAATTAATTATTTATTGGGGATGGGACTGACCCAAAATAATTACACGCCCAATATTAAAAGAACAGTTTTTTTAAAAAGCATGCAAGCTTTACATCACACTGTGAGTTAACAGGAAGCATTATTCAAGCCAGTGAGGAGAGCTAACCACTTTTTACCTTTCCCCAGACTCTTAAGTTATCTGAGATCCTATAGAAGAGAAACTGGGAGAGAGCTCTCTAACCATACCAATGCAGGTCCTTCCGTTTGGTCCCAACTGAAGGCCACCTGATGGACAAAGACACTGTACCTCCCCTTTGACTTCTTCACATCCATATTGGCAATTCACCATGGCACATGTCCTAGAACCTGAAAAGTGTATTTAAAATAACAGAAAAAGCAAAATTTTAGGCTGGGATCACACACTTAAAATTCAGTTAGATCTGGATAAATGCAGAAAATTAGTCAGATCAAAAAAATTCCGTTCATCATTAATCAAGCTCTTTATACATTAATAAATTAACAAGTCAGTAGTCCGTGAGATAGATCTTACATTCCCCCTCCCCTTCACTTTGTTCGTTCCTTATTTTGCCCTTATTCCTTCTTTTGTCTGTGATTCCAGTTCTGTGACTTCTTACTATTAACTTTTTGATTCAGAGACAGAACTGCTTGAAGTAGAAAAAAGGGTGTTTGTTTATTTTTACATTGTTCACTGCAACAGTTTTACCATACAGAAAACTGCTCTTTGGCAGCGAAGAGCTTACCATTGAATGTGCTTCTAGTAGATGAACACTGAACAAATTCTAGTACAATTTGATTTTAAAAACTCTTTAGCCTCATGGACTTAGGAATTGCCCTTTACTTTGACCCTTCATGGAACAGATGTTTGACTCTAAAGAAGCACCAGCCAAGTTTTGGTTGCCACAGGTTGGTTAGAAGTGTGAATTATTGGAGGTGACTTTGATTAGCCTCTAAATAGAAATGTAGGGTACAGATACTGTCCGAGGCACCTATGAGAGGTTAGAAAAGTAGAAGTGTATTAAGTATATAGTAGATGTTTCTAAAATCCTGAAGATATCCAGGAAGCATTAGCATTACGATGCCAGGAAGAGAAGTAGAAGATGGAAGTGTTTACTGGAAGATATGGAGGTGTGTGCAGAGGAAGTATTTTCCAGCCACTTCACTCTGGTTGTGTTCAAAGAAACAGAACTACATATAGGTTCTTTGTAAGTGAAAAGCCCGTGTGGCTGCAGATAAGCCTGACTGCTCAGACTGGGTGGACTTTATCTTGCTAAGGAGACTTATATTGTGAAGAATTTGACTCAAAAGGAGCAATATTATGCTCAAAATGTTTGCCTGAATAAAACAATGAAACATCTACAGTTGGTTAAATAACCTAGCATTTCACCTGAGCACAAGCTTAAGTTAGCATCGAGTGACACAGGAGGCTAGGAGACTTAACCAAGAATAATCTCTACTTGAATAAATAATTTACTACTTCATTTCATAATCATAGTTTCAATTCAAGAAAATAAAGGCTCTTTGGAACTGGAAGGTGGCAGATGGGTTGGGTTAACAAAGCACTGGCTGGATGAATGTTTTTTTGCCTCCTTAACTAGAGCTGTGAAGGATTAAGACTTCCCTTCTATAGGAAACGGTTTTCACCCTCAAATTTGGTTTCATTCTGTGTTTACTGGGGTTCCACTGAGAAATAATGTTCCCGAGTGCCAAAGTAAAACTCAAGCTACAGGGCTCACAGCTGCTCAGGTAATTTTTCATATATATTCGACACTGGCCACGACTGCCACTGAGAAATACAGCGTTTTGTGCTGGCTTAAGTAAGGGACGGTGCAACTGCGCATTTGGTACAAATTTGGTACAAATGCAGAGTTTCTTAAATTGGGAAAATAGTCCTGAACCAAGACTGGCTTAAAACGAATGGAGCAGAAATATGAAATTACAGTCAATCTCATTTTCTGAAGTGGTTCAGAAGCACGGAAGCAGCAGGAGTTAATGCTCAGAGCAGAGGGAGTGAGGGGTGGACAGACCAAAGCTGCTGCTGGGCTCCAAAGATAGTTTGTTTTGGCCACAGTTCTGGCTTCTGCCAACTTCAGCTGTCTGTAAGACAGTGGCCTTACTGAGAACTGCTCCACATATGATGTCAGCAGATACTCCAATTATCCTGGAAGAAACGGAAGGAGTACTTATCTCTTTCTCAGGGAACTCGGGGCCCTGCAGCTGTTGTCTGCCAGTGATACCCACCACGCTTAGCGGTGCGAGACACAACTGTGAGCTGTGCTGCAGGGAAGGGAAACCCTCCAAAAGGTCTGGCCCCAGGCACCCTCTGCAGCAATTTCAGTCTCAGTGCCACGAGAGACAGCAGGAGCTCTGGCTTTTCTACCAGCCCCAGAGCTGCAGACCCTGTACTCTTGCGAGCATCTGCCAAGGCTGGGTATTTTTCCATTTATCCCAACAATGACTATCAAACTCGCTAGATGGACACCCTGTCTGGTGACTGGTTGTCTCCAAGGTTTGGAGATCAAAGTCTTTCAGAGTTTATGGTTCTCTGTCACATCCATGGGAAAGGTTGTGCTGCAGCCCATACAGCTAGGGCTATTGCTTTAGGACAGACCTCTCAGACAAATTATTCCACTGCTGACAGCAGCTAGCTCCCTTGTCCAACTGATGCACCTGCTTCAGTCCAGTGGACTCCAGAAAGAGCTGTCACCATGTTACCTAGGGTTTTGTGAAATTCAAAGCCAAAATATCTCTATGAAACAGCTCAGGTGAAGTAAAAAAAAAAAAAAAAAAAGTATTTTCTACAAACAAAATAGTGGCATTGAAAAACACGATGCTTCCCAGGTCTGAAAAATCAGGTTGGTTACGAAAGCGGAATACTTCCCATTACATGCTGGCTTAAAGACAAAGAAAAGAGGAAGAAATACAATTTAGATAAGCCTTAACTCAATGAACAAATGTTTGAAAGAAGCTGGTGGCAGCTATGGGAAGCATATCAACACACAGATAAAATAAAACTGGTCAGTGAGCACAGAAAGGTAAAGCAAAGAATAATGGCATGAAAATCAGTGCAGTAGAAAGTAGCCTGCATTGGTGCATTGGACAGATTTGTTCAGGACTCTGCACCAAGGTTATGCTAGCTGTCCTTCATCTGAAGTAACACTATCAATCATTTTTACATCTAGCAGGACCAAAATTCCTCTGAACACCAAAATACAAGTACGACCTAGTTTACTTTACTCAGATACTGTCAAATAGAAAGCTTCTTTCAGCTACTGACGGTACGAGAGCCCTGAGGCAAAGACCTTAACCTGAATAAGCTAAATCCATTCATCACAAGAAGAAAATCTGCTGGGATCAAATGTGATTAGATAATTTTGGTGTGCCTGTCCTATCGGCTCTACTACTTACTTGCACATGTGCCATCTGGCCTAAGCATGTACCCGTTGAGACAATAGCACTTGTAGCTGCCATGTGTATTCATACATCTGTGTTCACAGGGACGTGGTTTCAGCCCGCACTCGTTCAGATCTGCAGAAGTCATTGGAATGAAGTGAGTGCTGGGTTTATATACATGCATTCATACATATAGATGGATAAGATTGCCTAATGCCTTGAATTCCCCACAGTAAAATCGCCTGAATTGAAAACAAGCCAGCTCCTTGGAAGAGGAGAGTTTAGCAGACCATCTGGCTGAAAGACTGCTAGCAAAACTAACACACACAGACATCTACACCTGAAAAACTAATGCAGACTCTGGCCACATCTGGCAGCTTGTTAGGAAGAGGTGGAGGGGAGGGGAGAGAATTGCATTTACTCTATTTTCTGGGAATTATTTTTCTGGATTTCTATGATTCTAGCTGGAGATTTTAGTCCTCCAGCTGACGTCTGTACTAGACAGGCCAAAATGTGAGACTGAGAACAGCAAATCAGCTTGAGATAAAGGGAAACAAAGATTTTTTTCTTTAAGCTGCACACTGGCACCAAGGTTATCAGTAGCAAAAATGAAATACAATATACGATAAGAATTGTGTGACTTTAAGAAGTACAAATCTCAAAAATCTCAAAATCCTGAGAATAAAAGCATCCTAAATCCTTCTCAAAAACCAGGATTTAAAAGGCTTTTCAGAAACTAAATTAATTTCAAATTCCCAAAAGCTATCCTTCATAGGGAGAAAACCAGAATCCTAAGGAGTTTTGGTTTGTGTGGTACAGGCAGAGTAGTGCTGGCAATGGTACTGGTCCTATGATAAGGGGACAACATCTGCGCTTGGGACTTTGTGAACTGACACCTCTACCTCTTGTATTGTGAAGTGTGAATAGTGAACAGACAGAACTCATTAACAGAATGCACCAGCATATCCAGCCCAGTAATATAAATTCAGTAAAGATGCAACTGTCCAAGCACTGAGCTTGTGCAGCTCTGCTTCTAATGGGAGAAGCATCTGTTCTCATGTCTGCAGACCACAGAAAAAAAACCCAGACCATTCAAAGCATAAACTCTGTGGTGGTTATATATGTACAGAAGCATTTGTTACAGCTCAGTCCAGGGAATAAAGAGAGGTCTGGATTCTGTTATTTAAAGGTAGGGTCTGTTTGAAAAAGGACAGCCCATCAGCTTGCAAATAACAGTAGATTTTTGTGCTACCGTGGCTCCACTAAATAACCAAGACTCTCAGAACAAAGGAACTGGAAGGGAACAAAAATGATATCACTTAGACCATACATTTTCAAAAGTGCTTAGCTGCACCTGTCTTGCACAATGCACCGATAGCATACTTAGGTCTAAAAGTGAACCTATGCAGATAAGGCTTATTTAGCTCAGACTCAGTGGCAGACTCATGCAGTCTCCTTATCTCTGCTATTTTAGTTAGCTCATGTTGAGCTTGCTCAGCATGGCATTCTGCAGCAACGACAGACCGAAGCTACATCTGCCAGTAAATTAAAAGTGGCTCTGCGCATTCCCGGCTGCTGGAACACGACCATGACCACCTATATGGCTGTACTATTGAAATAGCTCCGTGACATTTCTGGCCTGTGCCAGCCACCACTTTACCAAAACATTCCCGGCCGTGCTTCAGAAGGTAGAACAGCCCAGGGAGCTAACAGGCAGTTTGCACATGTAGGTCTGTGCAGTGCTTCCACCAACCCTCCAACTCTGCATCTACCGCAAGCGTGCGGAACTTATCTACTTGCATACGGAGGGCGTATCAAATCCAGCTGGAGTTACTGCATGGAAAGCACATAAAAGCTGGGGCTTCTCTGCTGCCTTTTGGTAACATTTAAGCTGCAAAATATTTTTTTGAGGTCAAATTTGTGTGTTTAGGGAATGAAGTGGTAAGTGGTACCTACATATCACATAGAACCACAGCTGCTGTTTCACTTTCCTCCCTAGTGGTACCGAGGAACTGACTTCACCCCCTAAAAACAACATCAGAAGTGCAAAAATATGGAGTTTTCCAAAATACTTAACCGTCTAGCTTTATAGAATCTTTTTGTAACATACTGTGTAATTAATGGGTTGTTCTGACTCTGAAAAATGTGTGTTTATTATGTCAATGCAACATTTTCAAGCAAAGACTGCAGGTGCTTAGGAAGGTAGCAAGGATAGACCCATCCACTCATGTGGCCTTTATGCCATGCTTCCCTCCCAGCACCTGCAGTTGACTCCTTTGCAACGGAGTAGGTTGGCCGCTCTCCATGTACAGTGACCTGCTCCTTCCATCTGATCCAACACAGGGGTCTCCTACATTGGAACAGGAAAAAAAAAGGCCGAGTTCTCACCAATGTGTTAGCTGAAATATACCCGTGTCTAATTGCAAGTTCATGGAGGGAAAGTGGTCCATTCAGAGTTTCTGAACACGCAATTCTAACGACTCCCAGTTCTGTGTTCTCAAAAATACCAATCAGCATACGCGAACAGATGGCATTGGCCCAGACAGCTTGAGAAATTCCATGCCCAGCATAAAATTGCATGTCTTTCTGATGAGAAAGTTAGTTAAGAAAGTAACATGGGTTGCTAGTTAAGAAAACATGGGTTCTGGATTTGATTTCTGTCTCTTCTAATAATTTCCCACACAATCTCTTCAAGCCTTAACCCTCTGACTATAACTATGACAGTCTGCCCTTGTCATCAGCCCACAGGAGATAAAAGAGTTCAGACTTCTGTGTGCTGAATGAGGCTTACAGCTTGCCTGGGATGCTGGAGATGCAAGAGCCTTAAACTCTAAGCTCTTCTACGTAAACAAGAAAATATTTTGTTTTACTATTTTGGAATATGACACAAACCATAGTACAAAATAAGGAGACAGTACACCAACAGTCTGCCATCTGCAGTAATATCCCCATGCACACAAACCTTGTTTACAGGTTTTCCCTGCAAATCCAGGGAAACATTTGCATTTGTTTGGTCCCGTGCACTCGCCATACTTGCAGCCATGTTCACAGATAGCTGGGGGAGTCAGGCAGAGAAAGGAGAGAGAAAGTGAAAAAGTTAGAAATAGTCTACTTAAGAGCTTGTGCCTTGCTTAGTTGCCTAAAAACTTGTTACACAAGTTCAACATCTTCCATACCTCTCCCTCCAGTTTGGGCACGGTAGCTACTGCTCAGTACTTTATTTCTGTTTGAGCAAAGTGACACTAGCATGGATTACATGAGTGTCTGCTTTTCCATGTTTGTAAGCACCTGCGAAAGAAGGGATTCCTTTTCACTCTCTTCCTCATGCTTTTTCTGCCACACTTACGATTCACATTTAGTTTGGTACTCTTGCCCTTTATCCTGTCTTTAAGACACCTATGTGAGAAGCAGCTAGCCAGCAGCTTGACTTGCCACGCTTGTCATCTGGAATAGGAAAGAGGCAGTATCACTCTCCTGCAGCCAAAGGAGACACACTACCCTACAGCAGTTTTCCAGTCTTGGGTCTCCATGGAGATCTCTCTCTTGGAGCGTGTCCATCCCATGTTGGAACATCCAGAGCACATCTGTCAAATGATCAGGCAACTGTCCTTACCACACACCCCTGCCAGTATAATTGCATCAGGTTTACAATGACTTGAGAGCTGTGCTTAACCCGGATGATTTAAAAAGTAAAAAAATTTCTGACTCCCAGACCTTTGGATCATTAGTCAGAAAATAAATGTTGACTTTTATAAGGCTCCTAAGATCAATATGACAGTCAATATGAGGATTATTCAGGAAAAGCAAACCAAACACGCATTTAAATCAGGACCAGCTCTGGAAAAACAGCAAAACAGCATGCACCAGGATGCACATCTTGCAACCTCGTGTACTCAAGCTGCTATGCAAACTAAAGGAGATAGGAAAGTGGCAGTGTTAGTTACTATATAGTAAAATTCATAATTAAAATTAATCCTTCTGAATTTAAGTATCTTCCTTACATTTAAAGATCCATTCAGATGCACTGATCCACTGACTCTGCAAATTAAGGCATTTTTAAAGGTATTTTGGCATCTTTCTCTTTTAGATGCCAGTATGTTGATTTTCAGCAATGAACAACCCTAAGCTCCTACTCAAACTCACCAGATACACAATGCCAAACTCTCTGGGACAACAGGTGTGAATTCTGAAAAAGATTCCTAAAACATTATCTTACGATTTTGTTGTGTTTTGCCCAAGTACAGCTGGAGAGATTCCATATCATCTTCTCCTTGGGATCTGTAGACCATTTAAGACATTTCTAATTTGTAAGAGTCATCAACTCTTCATTAAGCCAGCGATCCACAGAGCAGAACACTGGACAGCTACCCACGCTCAAGTCAGGTGCACTTATCACTTAGGTTTTACTTATTTTAGAAAGTTAAAACCTCCTGGTTCTCAGAGGATGTGTACGCTGAGGATGAAGGGTACCAACTGATAGAAAACCATTGTAGTGGTCCATATGTCACATCAGGAAACACTGCATTTTTTGGCACTTCCTCGGTAGCTGTAACAGCACCGGCACTGACCAGGGCTATGCAGGAGGTTACAACAGATGGTCCCTTCTGGACCTAAGGATTTTTTAATGTGTTTCATTGTTTCGTGTTATTTACCCAAGGCGCTGCTGATTTTAGGGGGTGGTCTCTCAGACACGTTTTATTCACTCTCTCACAGCATGAAGAGATTTCACTCCTCAAAAGTTTTTTTTCTGTAACCTCTAGCAGACACATACGAAATCCACTTATTAGTACCACATACACAGCCACGGAGAGGAAACAAGCATAAAGTGTTAATGTTACCTGCGCAGTGGCCCTTGTTGTTCCTTTTCCAGCCATAACAGCAATCCAACCTAGAGCCATAGCGACACACCCCAGGCTGGCTCACAGTCACCAGCTGCCCACGAGCTCTTGAGCTGTGTAAGGAAGGATAAACACTAACTCCAGCAGGCAAATGCACTTCAATCCATTGCTCCGTACACTCCCTTGTACAATTCTCTTAGGCTTTAGACACCGCTGGGCATTTTCATTTCACCAAAGCTAGCAGAATGTTCCTGGACAGGAATGCAACGTTGCATTTGGTTGGAGAAACAGAGGAGATGGGAGTGTTTCACCTGCAATAAATTAACTGTGCAGCATAAATCCTTTCTAATGAGAAACACAGCAAAGGCAAAAAATACAGCCAGGTCCCCTGTGAGAATACGTCGTTTTAGTATCAGCGAAGTCAATGGGGCTACTCCAGCTCATGCCACGTGAACAATCTGGATTGGATATATGATGCCATACCTGACAGCGCAATTCCTTTGGATGGTGAAATACCGATTCTACAGAAAAGCAGCTTTCTGAACTTCAGTCAGCCCCATAAAAACAGGGACTAGCAGGCTTGTGTATATACAGATTGATTGTGTAAGTGCAGACAGTCCCGTGCATTCTGGTTGCGTGGGACTCCCTGACCATAAAAATCAACGTTCATTTAATCTGCCAATAAGCCCAGGGGGTTCGAAGTCACTGTACAGATCAACAGCTGCAAGAGTTGGAAAACCTGCAGTGTTAGTTGCCAAAATTATAAATCTAATGAAAATCCACAACTGTGTAGTCTTCTAGACCTACTCTATGCTCTAACAGGCACTGTGACTACAGTTCTCCCTCTGCTTGTTGTTACTTAAGTTCTCCATTACATGTCTGTCCCCTTTATGAATTTCTGTTCTTTATCCAAAATACTCTGTCTCCACTGCTTTTTCCAGGTCATAATTTAAAATGCACTTTCTTCAATGAATATGAAGTGTTATTTCTGACACAGAAAATACCTTATCTGCAAGAGCTTCATAGCCAGATATTCGGGGTATTGAGGAAGGCAATATATCCACGTGTCGGGGAAAAAAAAGAAAAGGAAAAAACATCAACAGGCTAGGAAGTTTTGCAATTTTTAGTCTGATGCACAATAAAGGCACTGCTTCAGCACCTTGCAGCCGTGTTATACAATTATCTTCCTGTGCGTATCAGTGAGAGTTGCACTTGTATCGGGACAGTTACTGCCAACATCACTGAGGCAAACTAGTAAAATAAACATAGGCATACACTTCAAAGATGAAAAATGCTACTTTAGAGTTTTCTTTAGTAGCAGAACCATCGGAAAGTGAAGGGATTTCAGAGGAAATGCATAGGTTCATGTATCTGAGATACCCTGAATGACGAGATGGTTCTCATGTCACCCGGCAAGTAAAAAGACTTGAGTGTTGGAAAATGTTGTTCTGAAGTCACCCAGCCTTGGCCATCCAACCAGTGGTACAGTTTACAGGACAACATATATCCCATCTTCAGACAGGAGAAAAAGTACATTGAGCAGCTACGACTCCTATATGGGTGTCTATTAGAAATCAGCACCCTGCCTCTGGGTTTATAGACAATAAAAGAACCCTTTTTCATTTTGTTCATCCAAATGCTGCTGGTTTAAAACACTTGCGAGTATACAAGTTAAAGAACATACATTCTGCTTACATGCTAGAAAGTGCCCTTGAATTCACCTGGATAATAAATGGTTACACCCCAGAAAATCCCCCTGAATTCAACAGGATAGTGCTTTGACTCCACTGAAAGGTTAAAAGGCCTAAAGCTTGGAGGAAGCGGGATCTCATTATTTTCCAAAAGGTGTTAATTTCCACAGGAAGACAAACTCATTCAGTAACGTTTTATTAAATAATTCACTTCAAAATCAAATAATGAAAGTGTCTTTACAAAGTATACAGTATCTCACAAGATTTCAGCACAAACTTGTCTTAAAACTGAGAAATGTTCCATAAAACTGCAATTAAAATGAACTTAGCTGAACTTAGATCATAGATACTGACCTGGACAAGGTCTTTCCCTTGTTCTGACTTCCACAACAAGCACCATGCCAAAGCTTACCTTTGGTGGTAGGAAAGGTCAACTAGATAACTGATAGCCCACCTGGATCCCAGAATCTGGGAGGAAAAACAATTTTTCCAGGTTAGTCCTTCTGACCCGTGAAGAACCACCAGCCATCAGCTCAGCTATTGCTGTCAGTTCAGCATTTTGTGCAAAAGAAAGAAATAAAGAGGAGATCCTTTCTGGGAGAATGTCACATGGATCCTCCTGGGCAACAGGGGAGAAGTAATGCAGTGTGGAGACACAGGATGCCCCAGATCCCTCCCCATATGATATCCATGTAGGATTTCATGGTGAGTAGCTAGAAACCAGAGTAAGATTGCAGTGCTTATCACTGTCTGCTCTGCCCTGTGTGCGAAATACAGCTGGCCTTGAAGAACCTGTAGCTTAAATACGTGACTGAGGAAGAAAGGCATGAGAGGGTAGACTGTGCAGGTTGCATTATTCTGCAGGTGTGAGGCAAAGGTGGTCTCCCCATTCCTATAGAAGGGCTCTGTCCTCCAAGGGTGAGCAGCTTACAGCACTGGTGCTAAAGACAAGTGACGGGCTGAGCCCAGGGTGCCCAGGCAGCACAGAAAGGACCGAATTTACGTGGCTGTCACTTTGCTGACACCAGCAGGATGGCATTCAGCAAAGTATGTTGAAGATGAATAACACGAACTTCTGCAATAAGCCAGGGCCTCCTTAGCTGAGGTGGCAGAAAGAAAAGAGCTGGCCGTATTTGCTACCAGATCACTGTGAGCCAGCAGCACTGTTATAAAATAGGTGGGACCCCCAGCTGTTTCAGTTAAAATTCCAGGAAAGTTTTACTGCTGCCGTATCAGGTTGTAGTGCTTATAATTCTTAACAACCATGGTGAAGAAATATGAATTATATATGGTATATATGACGATGGAAGCTATAAAGAATGACCTATTTTACAAAGGAGAAGAATGTGGCTTCAGTTGAACAAACCAAAAGCTGAGAGGGGATACTACATGTCAGGCAGCTCCAAACAAGAGACAGAAAAGCTTCTTAAGAGAAAGGCCAATTCATATCCATTTGCTCTTGTGCTTCTGTCCATCAGTACTCTGAGGAGGATACAACAGTATTAACACAGCCATGAGGTGGGTGACAGTCTTCAACAACACTGAACAACCCAGAGAACAACAACTACCTAATTTCAAGTCTCTGCACAAACTGAGAAAGACCTAATGTTGCCTGTAATGACACAAACATAGACATGAATGATGTTACGTCCCATTCACTCAGCTGCTGCTGAAAAAAGTGGTTCCTCTGTAGACTAAAATGAAGTTTGTGAATTACATCCCCAAAGAAGTCATATCAATTCAGGACAAAGCATTTAGATACTGGTGGGGACCAGGTAAATATGTAACTTTATACCCACTGTGGCCTGAGCAACAGACAAAATAAACTGGGGGTGTGATGTGAGGACTGACCTTAAATTCCTACACAGCACCTTTGAGTCCTTGCAGTGATTTCCCTAAGTTGATACTAAAAAAAAAAAAAAAGAAAAGCATTTACGATAAAACATGTTCAGAAAGTTCATGTGCTCCACTGATTGAGTGGCTAGATAGATCTTCCAGTGGAGTGAGGTTCATTGGTAGGGTAGGACAGCTATGCCCAGTAGCTTAGATACACAAACAACTGCAAAGGAAAATATTAGAAGCACAGTAACAGGTGAAAAATGGGGAATAAAGCACACCTGAATGTTGAGACCTTCTCCAGCAGATTCCCCCTGCCACCCCTTATCCCTCTTTTTGTTGTTTCATTCCATAAAATAAGAAAACAGTTTTACATTGCAGCAGTTTCTCAAAATTAGTTTATGACCTAGGCCAAAACCAAGCACCTAAAAATGTCTGTATACCAAAGGGCAGTCAAAGATTTCAAATACAGTAACCAGCCTGGTAGCTGGGTTGGAGCGTAACCCTCACCAGCAGCCATTTTACCAGTAACGGCTAAAATAAAAAGAAGTAAAAATGCCAACAGTGAAAAAAGTTATGTATCATCTTCTCCTGACCAGTGCTCATGAGGGGTGTAAGCAGAGTTATGTGACAGCAGCACAGGATGGGCGAGCAAGTCTCCAAATGGCTGATTGAACCAGGGGGCTAGGTAATGAAAGTTAGGTATGGTTTGAGTTAAAACAGTCATTTGTTTTCAGCTCCTGTTAATATTCTTTTTCTAAAGTTTTCTGTCAGGAGGAACATTTAGGAGCTTTTACCTTTTCTTTTATTTTTTTTTGCTTCCAGGCACAGCTGCTGAATAGATTTAGTGCACTGTTTCCCTAAGATCTCCACAGGACCCTTTTGGTCAGCTCTCACGCATACAATAGCTGCCAGCTGCTGGTGGGGGAAGGTCTCAATTATATTATTAGCAGCTTCCAGTTAAATTCAAAGACAGGATATTACCCTTTTTTTTTTAAGTTTTCTGGTCATTGCTGCTAGCAAAAAAACAACTAGCACCAAACCTAAAATTTTCATCAACTGATGTATTCAGAAGGATGAAAAGATGGTGTCTCATAACTTAGCAATTTGAAAGAAATTCCTAAAAAGTCTGTTGTGAGTGTACACCATGCAGAAATAAATTTGATCACTTTGTCAAATGAAGGCATAGGGCTTTTTTTGTTGTGGTGGTTGGTCGGGTTTTTTTGGTTTTGTTTGTTTTTACAAAAGTTTATTTGAAGGGTGACTTCCTTCTGGGAAAAAAGTCCACCTATAGTCTTATGAAATAAATCCAAAACCGTTGTCACCTATTATCTCCTAATAACTGTGTCTTACATATCCCTTCAGCCCGTTCCAGGCACCTGTCAGCATGACAATAGTCCTGCTTCAGTGGAAGTCCCTCCCAAAACACCAAATGAAGTTTAGTTTGGGCTTGCAGAATTTCCTTTAAGGCTTCACGTGCCCACCAAACTCTTTAAAGGGAAGTGCTCAGAGCAGAAAAGTCCAGACACAAAAGCCGCACTTGCAAGAGACAAGAATAGTAATTATTTTTTCCAAACCAATTCAAA